TCTTTACTTTCAGCCAGTATCCATCTGACATCAGCAATGATATCCCTTGTGCGCCACAGCCTGTTCTAAATCCCACTTGAACTTCTGGCAGTTCCCTATTTATGTACTGTTACCGCCATTTTTGAATGATCTTCAGCAGTATTTTGCTAGCATGTGATGTTAATGATACTGTTTGGTAATTTCCACATTCATTTGGATCACCCTTCTTGGGAATAGGAATACATATGAACCTCATCCAATCCATTGGCCAGCCAGCCATCCATCCTCCAAATTTCCTGGCATAGACTGGTGAGTGCATCCAGAGCTGCATCTGTTAATTGAAACAAGTCAATTGGTATCCATCAATTCCTGGGGCCTTATTTTTTGCCACTGCCTTCAATGCAGCATCCTCTTCCTCTTTTATTACCATTGGCTCCTGTTCATATGGTACTTCCTGAGATTTTTCAGTGTCAATCAGTTCTTTCTAGTATAGTATATAGTATATTCCCTCCATCTTCTTTTGATGCTTTCTGGGTTTTTCTAGATACTCCCCATAGCATCTTTCAACATTGTGACATGAGGCTTAATTTTGTTTTTCAGTTCTTTCAGCTTGAGAAATACAAAGCAAGTTCTTCTATTTTTATTCTCCAATTCCAGCTCATTCTTTTATAATACTTTTCTTTGTCCTCCCTAGTTGCCTTTTGAAACCATATGTTCAACTCTTTCACTTTGACATGTTTTTCTTTAGATATGGCTTCTTGAATTTCCAGTGCAATCTTTAGAGTCTCTATTGACATACATTTAGATTTTTCTTTCTTGGCTGTTTTTGGAATGACCTTTTGCTTTCTTCGTAGTTGATATCCCACAACTCATCTTGTCTTCTATCATTAGTGTTCAGTGTCTCAAACCTATTCTTAATTGTTGAAGTTAATATAGCCATAATGCTCTTTGGAATCAAGGAGAGACATCACTGGAAAAGGACATTATGTAAGAAAGAAGATCACCTAGATTTCACACAGTGGCTACAAGACTGGGCTCAAAGCAATTGTTATAGGAATGGCTCTGGACTGCACTGTATATATCTTTCTGTTTTATGTAGGGTCACTGTGAATAAAAGTCTACACAGCAATACCTAGCAACAAATAACCTAGAATTCTGTTCTCTATGAAATGATCCTTCAAAAGTGGAAGAAAAAATAAGATTTTATAAAAAAAAATTGAGATAATTTGTTGCCATTAGTAGTTGCTGTGATGCCACACACTGTGTCACTGATGTTTGAAATGTGACAATGATTACCCATGGTCGACAGTGTTTGGTGGAGCTCCCAAACTAAAACAAGCTTGGAAGCAGGAGTGGCAAATATCCGAAATAGCTTGCCTTGGGAAACACTAGGATTTTAGAGAAACAATGAAAATTTTACAAGTGTTCAGGTCTTCCATTCATAGGATCATTATGAGTCATCTATCACTCGGCAGCACTTAACAACAACAGACCATCTTAGTGTCAGATGGTTCTTCATTGAAAGCAGAGAACGTCAGAAGAATGTTTACTTGTGATTTATTGACTATGCAAAGGCATTTGATTGTGTGGATCATAACATACTATAGTTAACCTTGAGAAGAAGGGGAATTCCAAAATACTTAACTGTGCTTATAGAAAATGTATACCTAAGGGAGCTCTGATGGCCTTTTGGCAAGACATTGCACTGCAGTCCCAGAGGCATGCAGTTCGAATATACAAGATGCTTTGCTGGAGAATCTCTGCTGGGGCAGTCTCTTTCCGTGCCAGATGGATCCAATTTGACAGTACACACACACAAAATAATAAAATTTTATTTAAAAAAAAAGATGGAAAATTTATACCGAGACCAAGAAGCCATTGTCTAAACAGAGCAAGTGAACACTGTATGATTTAAAATTGAGAAAGGTATGCACCAGGGCTATATCTTCTCTCCATATCTTTTCAACCTGCTTACTGAGCAAATCATTCAAGAAACTGGATTTTATGAAGAACACTGTGGCATCAGGATTGGAGGAAGGTCATCAATAACGTGATTATGTAGGTGACACAACCTTGCATGTTAAAAGAGAGCATGAAGCACTTGTTGCAAAGGATCAAGGACTACAGCCTCCTATATGGATTAAATCTCAATGTGAAGACAACAAAAATCCTTACCACTGGACCAATAGGCAGCATCTTAATAAATGGAGAAAAGATTGATATTGTCAACGATTCCATCTTACTTGTGTCCACTGTCAATGCCCTTGGTACCAACAGTCAGGAAATCAGCAGACCTAAAGCAATGAGAAAGTCTGCTGTGAGGAATCTCTCCAAAATCATGAAGAGCAGTGGTATCATTCTAAAGACTAAGGTGTGCCTGATTCACATCACAGTCTTTCCATTCACCTACTGTGCAGCTGAGAGCTGGCCATTGTATAGGGATGGGAGAAGAATCTGCATTTGAGTAGTGTTGGAGAAGAGTGGTGAATATCCCATGGGATGTCAAAAGAACAAACAAGTCTCTTGGAGGAAATGTAACACCACAAACAAGTCACTTGGAGGAAGAGTGCTACTTAGAGGCAAGGATGGTGAAATTTGGTTTCACATACTTTAGTCATGTCAAAAGGGAACATTCCTTGAACAAAGACCTCTTTCTGGGAAAGGTGAAGAGTCATTAAAGAGAGGAAGACCCTCAACAAGACAATTTACAACAGTGACTCAAACAGTGGACTTGAGCATCCTGAGAATGATGCATGATAAGGGAAGGATCAGATCTTTTGTTCATAGTGTTGCTGTGAGTTGGAGTCATCTTGGTGGCACTTAACAACAACAGCAGACCTGCCTTACCACCAGAGTGCTTCCTATAGAAGGAAAGATAGTGAAACTTCCTTTCACATGAACGTGTCACTTGGGGCCATTTATTGGAAAAAGACATCATGCTGGCAAAGGTAAAGAATCAGCAAAAGAGAAGACAACCCTCATGGTCATGAATTGATACATTGACTACAGCAGTGGGCTTAAGCATTGATGAAAATTGTGAAGATGGCACAGGACAGGACAGGGTTCAGATCTGTTGTTCATAGAGTCACTGTGATTACACGCTGATTACAGGGTTACAGTTGATTTGAAGGCATCTAAAAACAACTGACAGTCCTGCCTTGCAAAAATACATCACAAACGTTGGTCATTATAAAGGAAGTATTTGGAAAAGACTAGGTGAAGATAAAGTAAAATCTTTTCATATTCCTATAATTGATAGAACAGATAAAAAGCTTGCTATATAAAAGAATAGAAACAATAATTTCTTGAGATAAGTGAAGTTTAATGACAGCTATGTAATAATGAGCCAGAGGACAAAATCTGGAGTACTTTTATAAGGTATCACTGCATTATCATGTGATGATACAATATTTGAAACTATTTCGATTAATTTTAATTGTATATTTCCAAGTCTAGCATTAAAGTAAATAACAATATCAAAATATGGTATGGTTGGAGAAAAGACAAAATACTCTTGTGAAAAATGGTAGACGGTCAGGAGGGACCAATCTTTTCAAAAAGATAACCATTCTGAGAAAGTTAGAGGGTTAGAGGAAGACCCTCAACTAGGTGCATTGATACTATAACTAACAGTGGACTTGAGTTTTTCAGAGATCACGATTTTGTTTCAGGACAGGGCAAGGGTTAGGTCTGTTATTCAAGGGTCCTTGGGAGTTGTGATCTGTTTGATTGTAATAACCACAACAAGAAAATAGATAATTAATACAAACTTTTTTTTTTCAGTTCATTAATTAATGAAATAACCTGTAGATGTTAATACATGTTTAAAAGAAAATTCAGGGAGGAATTTATAGAATTGGTGTGTTGAAAGAATACAAATTGACTTTGCTGTAAATATAATGTTTGTTAATGGTATCCCTTAAGAATACCTTTATTACTGTACAGAAATAATTTCTCTGTTCTTCCATGAGAATACTAGCCTCATCACTACTACAAGCTAACCCTCATTTAGAATTGCAAAGTCTCCTAGTTAATAGCCAGTCTTGTGTACATTAAGCCATTTGCAGCAAGGCAAATCTTTGTAGGAGGGAATTGCTCCTCTTAGTCCCATGGAGTTATTGTTCGATTTGAACTTTTGACCTTTCAGTTAACAGCCCAGCATGTAACCACTATGCAATCAAAGCTCCTTAAACATTCGCTAACTCATTGCTGTCAAATTGGAACCTACTCAGGAACCTCAAGTGGATTTCCTGAGGCTCTTACTTGCACAGGAGGAGATTGCCCATCTCTCTCCCTTGGGATGGCAGGTGGACTCAAACCACCAGAGAGACACCATCTTTGGGTTAGTAGTACACCATCCGTCTTTGGGGAGATTCACCGTTACAGGGATTCTTCAATAAAGGTAGACACTTTTAGAAGATAATATGCATCAAAGAAGTGCTTCAAAGTACACTGAGGAACTTTACAGAGTGGAAGTATAGCCAGTGAGGTTTATCTAAGGATGATTATAGTTAATTGAAAATCACACAGTAATCTTTTAACTATTTAAAAGTTTCGGTTAATTTTTCATAGCATTAATTATACAAGATGAGGTTGTTAGTGCAATGAAGGAAATACATAGGAGGAAAGATAACGTTCTTTTTATTAAGCACATGGTCATTGAATTACTATCTCATTTTAGTTTTCATATATTGCCTTCAAGCTTTTAAATCACGTGTTATTTAATAATTTACATATTTATCTTTACAATTTGATTACAGACTTCTCTGAGGGAAGAACCAATGTCTACATTGTATTCTGTTTTGTTTATAGCACAGTATACACATTAGGATTCAAGAAATATTTTTATTTCATTTTATGCATTCTAAGAACCAAATCATATATTTAAAGAACTGATTATGTTTTCAAACGAGACTACCACCAGGCATCAAGCTACTGAATGAACACTTTGTTTAGTTTGTTTTGATGCTTGAGAGTCAATTTGTAATGTTTCACTCTTATTTTTTATTTTGTTTATTTAGTGGCCATTTACTCAGAATAGAAGGAAAACACCTACATTCAATTTTAGATGAAGTTGTGTTCAAGCTTTTGTCAACTCCAAGTCCAGTAATAAGAAATATTGCTGCAAAGCTGTTACTACTTATGGCTGAATCGCATCAGGAAATTTCAATCTTACTGAGACTAAGTGCCTGCTACAAAGGTAGTAGATATGTTTTCCTTTTCTTAGATTCTCAAAATAAACATCTTACATATTTAAGAAAGTAGAAAACTGAAGTAATGATGATAAAATCCCACCACAACATATACTAATTTAAGGAAATTTCTTTATATAATCATACTATATGTCAGAGCAGAAGCTATGTTATTTTAGAGGTGAGATTACAGTGAAAGTTTGCTCTGTCTCTGATAAAAAGATTGTACGTTGAATATAATATGTTGTTGTTATTGGTAGTTGGTATTGAATGGATACTACTCATGATGATCAGTGTCTTACCAGGTCTAACTGGGAAAGAAAATAGGCCTATGATTAAGAACTTGACAGCCTTTCCAATATGTAATAATTACTCCTCAGCTTCTCTAGTACTCTTGGGGGTGGAACACGTGCGAATTAAAAGCAATTTGGAGAAAGAAAGGGCTCACTCAGCAAATGCTTGCCAGGGAATAGTGTTCATTTAATGTCGAGTTTATTACATACTGGTAACAGTGTACATACTTAACATGCACTAAAAATATTTGATCTTCATAACATTTTCAAGATGGCTATTTTTATCGCTCTTTCCCATGTGGAAACAAACATGGGAAAACTAGATAATTTGCACAAGGTCACACAGATAATACAATTCCATTTTTAATTACCAAGTAAGATTTTATATTAACTTTGATTATTCTTTGCCAATAGGAGGACTGTATTAATTACAGTATACTTTCTTATTCAACTTCAACAAGAAACAGATTTCTAATTCATTAAATGTACTTAAACTATGTTTTGTTAAGATGGGAATGTTTAATGATTAGATTATAATATATTTAAAACTGAAACAAGTATTAAAATATTTTCTTAATTTTTGTTGGTAGTTTTAGTTGAATAGGTAATTTTTACGGGAATTGTAATTACTTATGTTTTGTACAATAATAGAGGAAGATAAAAGATCTCTGTTGTTGATATACCGATTTTTAAATTCTAGTTTCAGATATTTTTACAACAGAAATGTAAATATATAACAGAGTTCATTATAAAGTGTTATTGCCTTAACAGTCTTTCCAGTCTTTGACTTAAATCTCAAGTTAAAGCTGAGTGTTAAAGCTCACTCAGAGTCTTTACAGTGTTTCAAAATACTACTGAGAACATGGATTCCTGGACAATAATCAACATATGTCAAGTCCCCAAGACAGTGAAAGTTAACTAAAATCCCTATTTTCCCACATTTCAGTCATCTCTGACAACTATATGTACAAAACTCTGCCTGCCTCTAGCCGCCCAGAGCTGAATCATAGCTCACAAGTTAACACTATCTCTCAGATTTCCAGATAGGCTACATTTTCTCAGAATAACCTTACTTAAGACATGCTTGTTGTTGTTAGGTGCCATTGAGTTGGAATTGACCCATGAGTGACCCTCCAGCATGTTTTTAGAGGCGATAAATCACACAGGAGGAGATTGCCCATCTTTTTCCCTCAGAGTAGCTGATGAATTTGAACCATGTGCTCTTGCATTGGCCACTAAAATCCATACCACTAAGCCACCAGAGCTTCCTGTTAGTAGCACATTTCAAGCTTTCCCACTGTTCTTTTAGCATGTCAGCCACAAGGTTAGGTGCTCCCCATAGGCTGCTCTTTTTTCACCTGCTATCTCCCTTTGCTCCTTTGAGTTTGTTCATTTGCTGCAGTAATTCATAGAACTCATAAGAACTATTATTATTAAGATTAAACTTACTGTAGCAAAAGGATATATATACGTCAGGATCACTATGTGGAAAAGATGAAAGATGCATTGGTAAGGTCTTAGAAGGTTCAAAGGACGTGAAAGGGGTATCGAAAGAAAAAGAAAGCCCATATGATTAATCTTATTTCTTTCATTTGATTCTAAACATGACTTTTTAACCTCAAATTAATATTGATTCACTCACACACTACAGAACTGATTCAGAGCTGAGCATTTAGTTTTCAGAGGCTGTAAATTGCATGGCAGGAGAGTGCCCATCATTTTCTGTGGAGCATCTGGTCAATTCAAACCACCAGAAAGATGCCACCTTTAGGTTAAGAGCACAATTCTTAACCCACTAGTCCACCAGAAATCCCTAATATTGATTGTTGTTGTGTACTGCTGAGTGAGAATCGAGTCATAGCTGACCATCCAGTGGGTTCTCAGAGGGGGTAAATCTCATGGGGGGAGATTACCCATCCTTCTGCTGAGCAGCTTGTGGATTTGAACCATGTGCCTTTGAGATTAATGGTTGTACCACTAGGCCACCAAAACCCCCTAATACTTGGTGGTTGGGGACCACTTGGGATCACTACCTTCTTTCTCTGAGAGAAGTTATTGTCTGGAAGAAATTAATAAATACATATGCAACACAAGAGACAAATAAAATATAGAGACAAAGTGGAACTGCTGCAGTCAGACAGGACAGGTCTGGATCGGCCGCCCTGACTGATGTGCCATCTATATTTTATCTTTTGGAAACAACGAGAAATAGAATTAGGGAAATAGATACTCTAATGGTTACATCATAGTGCCCAGGCAGGCCGGGTACAAGTAGAAACATTAAGATTACCATCGGGCTCAGATGGGCTAAGTACATAGTTAGATACATTCAACCAAGACTTCTTTATATTCATAAACTGTGCTTTCTCTCATCTTGCAACAACCTTATCAAGAGCAGGAATAATGAAAGTCAGTGTCAAAAGATGTATGAGAACTGCTTGCAGTCTTCCTTCTCAGAGCGCCTTGTGAGATCTGCTTACCTGAAGACACTTTCTGTGTGCAAAGCACACAACCATATTCTAAGGATGCAATCCTTTACATTCTATGGTCCCCTACAAATGCTGACTAGATAATAAAATTTTGCTTGTCTTATTAATAGTTATACCTTTGTTTATTCCATTTCAGGACTCAGAAGTCTACTAAATAAACAGGAAAGTAGAACAGACTTTAGTCAAGAACTCAAGCAGCTTCGTGGCTTTTTAAATCCTAAAGTGTCTCAAGAAGTAGAAGACCAGGTATTAAACTGTAAAAATTATTTGTATGATATCCGATAACTGTCAAAATTAAGTCTCAGTATCCCTTAAATGCTCTTCACTTTCAACACTTTAAGCAAAATGCTTCCTCTGAAAATGTTTTTAAACCTAATCTTTCATTCAACCTGCCCAACAAACATAATTTCTGCCTCCCATTTATGCTTGTTTACACATACCACTACATCCATTTCATTTTCACTATTCCTCATAAAATCTCACCTCTTATGTTTACCTTCTTTTAGGATAAACTGTTTAGATGTTTCGTTGGATTTTTCCCCCAAAACGAAATCTAATTATAACAGAAAGTATGATCATCTGTGCTTTAAGATAGAATGCTTTTTTATCTTTTTGTAAAAAATTGTATCAATTAAAAATTTGCATATTGAGGCAACAACTTAATATTTGTTCATACTTTCTCTTATAAGCACAAATTATGGCTCTGGGGAGACTTCTAATAGGAAGAACCATATAGTTTTAAATGTCCATATGATGACTTAAAAATACGGAAAACATATATCTATGTAAATAGGAAAAAAATAATATAGAAAACATATTTAAATCCAGAATAACTGGATATCTCTTTTACTAGAAAAAGAAATAGATACATTTTACTTCCAAAACTAAAACAGCAGTAAATTTCAAAACACAAATAAGTACTGTGAAAGGAAGGCAGTATAAGTAGGAAAGTGAGAAAGTAAAAAGGAAGGAATAGAGTTGAACAAAGGAATCCCTTAATTCTTTTTATGAAACCTCACAAGTCGTAGATTTGTGAAACTGACCATGTAGAAGTGGAACAGATACAGAACGGAACCAAAAGGCTTCGTCAGTTAGTATTTCAAGACTTCTTAGTTTCCCACAAGCATTTCAAAGGTTGTTAATAATACTTCTCCAATCCTCATACCACATCTTTGTTCAGACAGTTTATGGGTTACTCTGTATATACTTGGAAGCAGGAGTGGCATCCAATTCCTAAACAACTTACCTCTGGAAACTTTTTGAACTTAGATAAATGGTAGTGAAATTTGATAGTGGTAGAGGGGCCTCAGGCCTTTTGTTCATAGGGTCGTTATGAGTCATGGTCGACTTGAAGGCAATCAACAACAACAATGTATACACAGTTAGCGACCTTTCCAAATTATTGAAGAGTAGTGATGTCAGTTTGAGGACTAAGGTGCATTTGATTCAGGCCATAGTCTTTCTGATTACTAGCTGCAATTCCGAGACCTGGACAATGAATAAGGATGACCGAAAGAGAATTGATGCCTTTGAGGTGTGGTGTTGGAAAAGAGCACTGATCATCCCATAGATGGCCAAGAGAACAAATAGATACATCTTGGAGAGAGTGTATCCGAGTGTTCTTTGGAGGCAAGAATGGTGAGGCCTCGCCTTCCATACTTCGGACATGTTGCTAGGAAGTGCTGTTCCTTGGAGAGCGACATGATGTTGGGAAGGGTAGAGGGTTGATGAAGGAGAGGAAGACCTTCATCCAGGTGATTGATATGGTGACTGCTGCAATGGGCTCTTGTGTATTGGGAAGTGTGAGGATGGTACAGGATAGATCAGGGTTCAGAACTTTTGAACATTGGATTCCTATGAACTGTCCTCGACTTGATGAGACCTAACAACAATAACAGCACATACACAATCCAAAGATGATATCACGTAGAACTAAAATACAAAAGAATGTGAGAAAAATGTTTTAAGTTGTCATTTTCATTTCATTAATTATTTTAATAATATTTTCATATAATAAAAATTTCACAAAAGATAGGAGCTGAAATTAATTGTCTCAGCAAGAAGAGATTGGTCATCTTGTGGAAAAAATTTGCGCATCATTTCAGTAATCTTGAGGTCTTAACCAGTTAAATAATTTTTTATTTCCCGTTCTTCGCTAGTTACTTTAATAGTTAATTAAACAGAGCATTGGAGAATTAAGATACTGCTTCTTGCTTTATTCTCATACATAAGTCATAAGGAAATCTAAGATATTAGAATGCTGTTATTTTAAAAGATCATAAAGCCAAAACCAAACACATTACTGCCCAGTCAATTCCATTTCATAGTATCCCTTTGTAACTCTGAGTTAATGTAATTATCCATTTTAAAATAATAAAAGAAAATAAACTCATATCTCGAATGTTTTCTAAAGTCAGTACTATATCAATAGATCTGACTAATAAACTTTTCTACATGTTAAGTATGATACTGTAGAAACTCTTAAGTAGTTGTTCCTCTGTTGCCTTTACTAATTGTATAAGTAAAGTAGCCTTGGGAAGTTTTTACTACTTTCTCTCTCTTTTTATAATAGCTTCTCCTGATCTCTGAAGAATATATCAATTTGGAAGTATATTCACCTGCAAAGAACAAGCACAAATTAGTTACAGATTAACAAGATTAAAGGGTTATATTACATTGTGAAAACATACTACATTTAAAAACCTTTAAAAGCAGATAAATTGGGGCTTTATGTAGCTCCAGTATATTATCTGGTCTCAGCCTACTCTTTTCATCCTGCCAGAGTAGCTTCTGTTCTCAGGTTACCTCATGAACCAAGAAGGTTTCTCAAGTTTCAGCTATCTCCCTATAATCCAAACTGATAATTGACAAGAAAGCCAAAAGAGTATCGATACACCATACCTTCCCCTGTGAGGCATCTTCTCTGAAGTTGGGCAAAGCTTCTCCTTTTTTATTATCCACAATTCAGTCAGCTACACAGAAAGCTGAGAGATGTGGACCAAATTCTGGGCAGCAATTTATATAGGCAAAAATCAGAATTCTATTACTAAGGAAAAAGTGGTGATTGTTGATGTTAGGTATCATGTGTCCACTATGACTCTTATCAACACTGTGAATAATAGATCAAAACCTTACCCAATCCTGCACAATCTAAATAATCTCCACTATATTCAAGATCTCCGTTGCTGTCACTTGTGTCACTCTTCCTCCTGGAGGTGGGGGGATGGGGTACCATCCTTAAGATGTCTCGAAATTGAGGAGCTCTGGTGGCCTAGTGACAAGAAGCTGCACTGCAATCCCAGAGGTGCGCAGTTCAAATCCACCAGATGTTCTGTTGGAGAAGGAGGTGCAACCTCTTCCTGTACTAGTCAGATCTGATTTGACAGTACACAAACAAAAATAAGAAAATAATTTTTTTAAAAAAAAAAATAAAAGTCTTGAAAGTAACTCTGATATTTGATTTCAGAAACTACATAAAGCAGCATGTGTGATTCAAGCTTATTGGAAGGGTTTTCAGACAAGAAAGAGAATGAAGAAGCTCCCATCGGCTGTGATTACTTTGCAAAGGAGTTTCAGGTATAACATTTTAGTGAGTTGGATGATGATTAAAGAGTGGCTAAGGATTTTTTTATTTTTTTAATAGGGTTGTGCTAGTGGTATGGATAGGAGGAAGAGTAAGATGAGAGTGAAGGTGAAGGTGAATGCAAGGGTCAGGTTAAGAGTGGGTTTAAGCATATCTTCTTAAAGAGCTCTGGTGGCAGAAGTTGTAATGTTTCAGGCTGTTAACTCTAAGGTCAATAGATTGAAAATCTCCCGACTCAATGGCACTTAACAACAACTTTTGAACATACAGTTCTTTTTAAGTTGTCACTATTGTGATAGTGTATGCATATCTTATTTCATTATTTATATATTTATCTTATTTATATTTATATATTTTTCCTTTCTGAATTTAATTGATTTCTACTGTAATTAAATACTTTTTAATATACTTACTGAGTAGACATAAATATACATGAGATTTTGAAAAATTCTTTTTAATATTTCCATTATAGAACTAAGCGAACTAAGAAATTACTGGAGCTGAATAGGCAGAAAGAAGAAGAGGAACACAGATTGCAATTGCAACTTCAAAGACAGAGAGCCATGAGACAATCCCGAGAGTTACGATTGAGTATGCTTGAAATAGTTCCTCCAGGTGGGTAACAGTGTTAAATTTGTAAATATAAAAATGCTTAGAATATTTTTCCTAGTTATTTGATGTTTCAAAAAGTCTCATCTTTCCTCATTCTTCCTTTTTCAGATTTAAGAAGTCCTTCAGCCAAATAAAGTTATCATATTTTTAAGTCTTATTGAGAACTACTTTCCCCAACAGTTTGGGGTGGTTTTTTTTTTTTTTTTCCCTTTAGACATATTAGTGAAATTTTAAAAACTTATCATTTAAAACAAATCTTATAAAGATTCCTTCCACACTTGATCATTCTTACATGGTGCCAGGAAAAAAAACTTTAGAAAAATATTAATCCAACAGCTTTGATTCAAACTTATCCATTAATTTAAATCAAGTTGTGATTCCTTATTAAGTATAAAAATGAGAGCTGTAGAGAGGTAAGTACAAGTGTTTGGAAATACAGCTCAGATTTTTACAATACTTTTTTTCAGTAATTTTTTAAAAACTTTTCTTACTGAAAATATCACAACAAACACATATTGCTCAGTATTTATCTACTCTTAGCCAACTTTGTTTTTGTTGATGTTATTATATCCCTTCGCATTGACTTTTTCTTATAATGACCCTTGAAATAACAGATCTGTGCCTTGTCCTATCCTGTACCTTTCTCACAATAACCTACATACTCAAGCACACTGGAGTGATTACTGTGTCAGTCCATCTTATTGAACGGCTTCCTCTTTTCCTGTTACCCTCTACTTTCCTTCCCTAACTTGACATCTCCTCTCCAAGTACTGGTTCCTCCTGAAAATATGCCCCAAATGAACAAGACAAAGTTTTACCATCCTTATCTTTAAGGAACATTCTAGGTACATTTCTCCAAGCCATGGTCTTTTCAGTTGCTTTCTGTGCATCTGAAAGTTCGATTATGAATAAGGAAGACCAGAGAAGAATAAATGCTTTTGAATTACAGTGGTGGTGCAGAGTATTGAATATCTCATGAACTCCTAAAAGAATAAACGTGTCTCTCAAATACACCTTTTCATCACCACAGATGCTGCATTCTGCTTATTTTCTTGCTTGGCTACTGTGAATTTGAGCTACAAGTTGACTGTCTCTCAGAAAGTTTAAAAAAAGAAAAGAAATGGCATCTGTTGAACCATGCCAGTAACTGAAGAAATATTTGGAAGCATACAAAAGTAAAACCTTTTGCACTCTTCCTGGGTGATACTCTTGATGTCTTCCCACAACTCATTTGGTCTTCTTTCCTTGGTGTTCAAAGCCTCAAACCTGTTCTTGAGATGGTTTTGAAATTCAGGTGGAGTAGTCTCAAGGTCTTATTTTGGTTCCCATGGATTCAATTTCATTTTCTTTAGCTTCAGCTTGAACTTGCGTGTGAGTAGTTGGTGGTCTATTCCACAACCAGCACCTAGTGTGGTTTTCACAGCTGATCTTGACCTTCTCCATGGTTCTTTCCACAGATGTAATCTGTCTGATTCCTATGCATACCATTAGGTGAAATCCATGTGTATAACCTGTGTTTATGTTTCTTACATAACATATTTGCAATGAAGAAGTCGTTGGTTGTGCAAAATCCAGTCATTCTACCTCCGGCTTCTTTTCTGTCACCGAGTACATGTTTTCCAACTACTGATCCTTCTTCTCGGTTCCCAACTTTGCATTCAAGTCACCCAAAATTATTAATGCATCTTGAGTGCATGCTCGCTCAATCTCTGACTAAAAAGGTTCTATTTCCTCTTCTTTGGTTCTGGTTGTGGGTGCATATATCTGAATGATAGTGGTATTCATTGGACTTTCTTGTAAGTGTATGGATATTATCCTTTCACTCACGATATTGTATTTCAGGACATATCTATAAATTACTTTTTTAACTATGAAAGCAATCCTGTTTTTCTTCACCTTTTTATCTCTGGAATAATCGATCATATGATTGTCCAACTCAAAATACCGCATACCAGTCCACCTCATCTCAGCAGTACCTAGTATGTCAGTATTTATGCACTCTATTTCTTCCTTAATAATATCTAATTTTCCTACATTCATGGTTCTCACATACCATGTACCAATCACTGGTGTCTGCTTACGACTTTCCCTCTTCCTTTGTATTTCCATACTTGAAAGCTCAGCCTCAGTTGCCCTATCTGTTAGTCTACATGTATTCTATTGTGCATAGGGTTTTCAGAGGCCTGCTATTTCAGAAGTAGATGACCAATCCTTCTTCCTAGTCTGTCTTAATCTGAATGCTCAGATTTAGAAAAGTATCTGACACAAGCATTTTACAGGAAAAAAAAGCTGATGAAAGATATTTCCCCAATTGTGGAATTAACTAATAGTTTCAGTGTTGTCTCTACCCTTGACACAAGCGTCATGACCCACCCATTTCCCTGCTCCCCCATCCACCAGCATCCCCATCTACTCCTACCCACTCCTTCAACACTTATCTCCCATTGTCCAGCCCTTGATCTGATAGCTTATATCTCAAGCTTTACGGGCTTCTGTGATTCCAAAATACTTCAGCTGCTGACAATTCCTTATGCTGTGGCCAGTGTCTCTTGAGTTTAGGGGTAATGTTTCCTAAGCGAGGGTGATAAGTCCTGTAGATATGGTATATGTATTGTTTTCCTGCAGCCCTTGGGCCCCCACGATTTCCGGTTCTGCCTTGATCTACCAGGCCTCTGGGTCGTGTTTACCTGTCAGAGTAAATTGATTGAGCGACTGGAGTTATCGGGTAGGTGTGTCAGAGATAGTGTGATTGGTACAGGATAGAGCAAATTTTAGGGCTGTTGTACATAGCGTCTCTATGAGTTGCAGGCCACTCGATGGCACATAACAGCATACAAAGTAAAACAGATAATGTGTACAAACACTTTCTGTTTTCTTCTGGAATTAAGATATTTTGAATGACTTGCTAACATACTCATGCTTATTATTGGATTTTTGTCCTTTTTTTCTCATTTCCTATGAGAAAAAGTTATATGAGTTACTTTATCAATAAAAGCTATAAAGTGGGGGAAACCCTATAAACTTGAAAAAGAACTACACAACTGATATTGTTACAGAATTATAACAATTTTAGAATGTGAAAAAGCTTAGCAGTAGCAGTAAATATGTTATAATAGTATCTGTTGTTCTTTTAGGTCATGTGGAAAAACACACTCGAGAAATAGAAGAGAAATCTGCATTGATTATCCAGAAACATTGGAAAGGGTACAGAGAAAGGAAAAGATTTAACCAACAAAGGCCATTTCTTACCGAGTATAAAGCAGCTGTCACACTTCAGAGAGCAGTGAGTCTGATGTAGTTATGAATTAAGAGGCAAAGACTTGGGTTTTGACTTTGCCATTTACTTGCTTTAAAGTTATACAGGTAATATCTTTTGTAAGGATTAGTACAATATTAGTTTCAGGTTGGAAGTTTAAAATGTCCCAAATATCCACCTTCTCCAAAATGCTATGCCATTTCATCCTCTGTGACACCAATTACTCCTTCTTTCGGCCTTCTTGTTCCATCATCTTTTGGTTCTAGAGTTCGCTGTAAGTCTTACAAAATTAAAAACTATCAGTGAGATGACTCACTGTGTGGTGCTGGTTGATGCACATGGCCATATAAAGGCTGGTGAACCACAGACTAGGCGCCTGCAGGCTGAAGTTGTTGGCTATCAGAGCAGCTGAGGTAGGTTAGATGCTATGCCTAGAGTAGATAAGGATCTAGCTTCTCAGGATCATTCCATGATACAGGATCTCAGGGCTATAAACAACAACCTCTAGAGAACTGAAGGTGGCTACTTGGGTCAGACGTTCTAGTACCAAAGGTTTCAAGATGTGTTACACCCTAATCCTCCAAAGAATTCACTCCAGAATGAGGTTTTAATCATAGACCTAGAGGCTAGAATCACAAAATGGAAACCTGTGGCTGGAATGTCCTTATTGCTTACTACATTTTATCACAAAGTCTTGGTCAAATCACTTAACTTTCCTTTCTTCTTTAAAATAAGAACTACTTTATTGCTAGCCATTCCAGTCACAAGTTATTAATGCATGTTTGATCAATTTCAGACAGAAGTTTGGTAGAAATCTTTCATTTCTTCATGGTTGGTGCAAATATTTTAACAATGCTTGTATTATTCTTTGTATGCATGTGAGCATTGTACTTAAGGATAGAACTTTAAATGCTCTTTTTTATTCTTTGTTTGCTTACAGAATTAATATATATTGTGTTTTATTCATGTACATTGTGTTTTACACATTCCTTGATTCACATTGTATTTCATACAATTGTTCCCATACATTGTTTTATAAAATTATTACCATTTATCAATGCCCACTATCACTCTTCTATTCAGGTTTCTGATGGATCTTTCCTAAGCCCTTCATCACCCTCCCTTCACTTACCAAACTCTGCGACCCATACTCTGATTTTCCTCATTCCCCACCCTGCACCCTCCTGTCCCCTACCCCTTCCCCTTTGGAATTTTGTACATATCTTAGTAAATAGTCTGTTTTTTATAGTAATGGTCTTATGCAATAATTGTCCTTAAGAGACTGAGTTCCCTCAGGATATGAATACATGTCTTTCCTCATCAATATGTCATTTCTGGCCAAGTAGATCATGTGACTGTCTGATTCAAAATGAGCAATACCAATTCGTCTCAGCTCACTAATGCTTGAGATACTGTTTTATTTTACATATTATTTCATATTTTACAGCTTTCAGTTTTCCTAGATTTCATCTTACAGTCCTTGTCCCAATAATTATTGGATATTTGCAGCTCCTTCTCCTCATTTTTAATCTTGCCACATCATCAAGTAAGGGTCCTTCATTGGGTAAAAGCTTTACCCTATTCATGTCATTAGAGTAGAGTCTACGTTGAGGAGGCAGCTTTATCCCAAGCATATTTGGAGTTTCTTCCAACAGAGGAGCTCAGCTTCCAGCACTATATCCAACAGTGTTCTTCCTTTGTTGACAGTCTTCAGAGGCTTGTTATTTCAGAAGTGGATAACCATTCCTCTTCCTTTGGTCTGTCTTAGTCTAGAAACTATTCTGAAACCTAGGTACCATAGGTGACCCTGTTGGTATTTCAAATACCGATGACTTAGCATCCAGCATCACAGCAACACACAAGCTAGCACTATAGCCAACTGACAGATTGTTGTGTTTTAGTACCACCTTTAAATATCAGCTAAAACAGAGATATCCATGAACATCCCAGGGAAGCAGAAATAAGCAATAAAATTACTTGATAGAAATGAAGACAATTATAGGAGTAAGAAAACTTAAGAGGAAGAAAAAAGAAAATTTAAGAAAGATACTGCAGAGATAAAAGGGGATGCTAGTTTTTAAATGGGAACAAAATTTCACCCCCAAAACTGGAAAACTTTCCAAAACGGCAGGTGAAAATTTAAAGAAATCTCAGCAGTAGAGCAAAAAAGAAAGGATAACCAGTTCAGAAGTTCAGACATCCAAATAAAATTAGGGGGAACAGCAGACAAAAATCAAATAACATAGAATTTTCCAGATTGTGAGTTTGGGATTTTAAAAAGCTGGTCCATTTCCAGTGACATAGTCAGGAAAACACCTTTATCAAGGCAAATTCCTCTGGAGTACTAGAACTTCTCAACAAAAACACTGAAAGCTAGCAGGTATTTCAGTAAGAATGTTGGGGGTCAAGTGTAATGAAAATATTTAAGAATGCCACTGTCTGTCAAGTCAGTATCAACTCATGGAAACGCTCTGAAAGAGTAGAACTGGCCCGAAGGATTTCCAAGGCTCTTATCTTTATGGAGCAGACTGCCACATTTTTTCTCCTGTGCAGCTACTTGTAGGTTCAGCAACCTTTTCATTAGTAGCTAATCACATAACAACTGCACTTACCAGGCTCCCACAAAAAAAAAAAAAAGAAGCACACCACAAAACCTTTTTAACCATGAAGTCTTTAAAACAAGGGAGTTACTAGTGAAAGAAGACAACATAAAATCCAGGAAGCATGGGGAGGAAAAGTCACCAAGATGACAGCAGTGAACTAGTTATAGAACACAATCAGCCCTGATTGGAGGGAGTGCAAAAATTCCCGAGGAAGTACCTACAAAAGCCCATTGGCGAGAATGACTGATGTGTTTAATGTATTGGCAGTTTAGACAGTTTGTGATACATAATCAGTGATCGTTTTTAGATATCATCAAGTCAACTATGACTGGAAACTTGCTGGATCTTATGCCATCCTCACAGTCTTCGCTGTCTTTCTTAAGCCGATTATTGTAGTCACTATATCAGTCCATCTGGCCAGGCTGCTTTAGACAGAATGGAGCCCTGATGGCATAGAGCATAACTTGTCAAACTGCTACCCAAAAGGTTGATGGGGTCTTAATATTTTTCACTTTCTCCATGAATGATTTTTTTTCAGAAGTAACTCCTTCTGAAAATAAGCCCTAAGTATGTGAAATAAAGTCTCATCATCCTTGCTTCTAAGGAGCACTCTGCCTTCACATTTCCTAAAACAGATTTATTTGTTCTTTTGATTGTTGTCTACTTTCAAGTCGAAAACAATCCATAGCTGACCGTCTGGCAGGTTTTCAGAGGAAGTAAAACACGCAGAAGGAGATTGCCCATCTTTCTACCATGAAGCATTGGGTGGATTTGAACTATATGCTTTCGGGATTACAGCACAATTTCTTAGCACTTGCCCACCAAAGCTCCCTATTCTTTTGGTGTTGGTTGTTCTTATATGCCGTCAAGTCAAATAGCGACTGTGAAAAATAGTTCTGAAACCTGCTCTATCTTGAGGCAGTCTGACTGGCTGCAATACACCTGTCCCTATTACCATGAGTCAGCCCATCTCATTCAGGGTCTTCCTCTCCTGTGCTGACCCTTCATCTTTCCAAGCAAGGGCTTTTCCCCTCCTGGCAACTTGCCAAAAGTATGTGAGATAGAGTTTTAAAATCCTTGCTTTCAAGGAGCAACCTGGCTTCACCCTCTCCAGGACAGACTTGTTTATTTTATTTATTTTTTTTATTATTATTATTTTGTGTGCATGCACCGTCAAATCAGATCTGACTGGTACAGGAGGATATTGTGCCTCCTTCTCCGGCAGAGCATCTGGTGGACTCGAACCAAGACTTTATTCTCTTGACAGTTCGAAGTATGTTCAGTACTCTTCTGCAACACCATAAATCAAAGGCATTGATTCTCCTGTCATCATTAGTCATTGTTCAGCTCTGATTCATAGCAGTTGGTTGAGAAGACTATGGCCTGGATCAGGTACACCTTTGTCTTTAGACTTATATTTTTGCTCATTAGTACTCTGAGGAGGTCCCTGACAGCATTCTTTCCCAGTGCAACTTTTCTTTTGATTCTCTGACTGCAGGTGCCAAGAATGTGTCCATGCTATATTTAGTACTCTTTACAAACACCATCATTCAAAGAAATTAAATATTCTTCTTTGATCTTCTTTTTTCAAGATTCACAACAACAACCTGAAGCAATTACCATGACTTAGATAAAGCACACCACAACAGATTTTCCCAGTGCAGGACATCATTTGATTTCTTGACTGCTGCTTCAATGGGTGTTGACTGTGTATACAAAAAAAGTGAAACATTCACAATTTCAATCTTTTCTGCAGTTACCATGCTGTTGTTTCTTGATCCACTTGTGAAGATTTTTGTTTTCTTAATGTTGAGGTGTTAGGCATCTGTAGGCTTTGATTTCAGTAATTATTTCAAGTCCTCATCAATTTCAGCAAGCAAGGTGTTACCATCTGCATAAACCCATCAGATATTAAGCACAGGTAGAGAAAAAAACCCCAATAGCATTATTCTGTAGAATTTTTTGTTTTAAATTATCAAGAAAGGAAAAGTTATGATAGTGTACTAGGTAGCCTTTGTGTAGTCATAATTACACATAAACACTGAGTAATAATTTAGCTGAGATTATGATACAGTAATGAATGGATGAAGATATAGAACTGGGAGGAAGTATAGGCAGTTAAGGAGATAAAGTCTTTGTCTTTCATACAAGAAAGTAAGGAAAGAATACATATATCAGAAAATCACAAATGGTATATACACCAAAAGAAAAGCTGAAGGAGTTAAAACTCATGCATTTGAGAAAAGAGAAGGGCAAGTGGACAGAACTACAGTGTTTGTTTTCTCCATAATTCTTTTTGATCTGTTTAACAGTAGAATTATTTAACATTTTCAGCCAAGCTTCAGCAAACATTTTCTGAACATGGCCACATAGTATAATAAATACTTTAGGTTTACAAAACTTACAGTCTCTGTTGCAACTATTCAGTGCTACAGTAGAGCACAAAAACACCCTAGATACTTTGTAAAAAAAAAAGGACATGAGGCTCACACATGAAACTTTATTTACAATTTTTTCCTTCCTATGTTTTCATATGTTACAAAATACTCTTTTTAGCTTTTGAAAGCCCCATGAAATGCAGTTCTTAACTCATGGGCCATATAAACACAGGAGTGGAGGTGAATTTCTCCTGTAAGCTTTAATTTGCCAGTCCTTGCTTTAACAATTTGCATGTGTCATATTGATGAAAATAAAAACTACAAAGAAGTATGGAGGAAAAATGAGCAGATTTCAGATTTTTTCTCTAATCTTGGCTTTTAAAGATTTATTATACCAGGAATCCATTCCAAAGAATACAAAGAAGAATACTGACAAAATACGTTCATCTGCAGCACCATAATATATAATCTTACAATATTCTCTCATTTAAACCAAGTTTGGAGTTTTTTAGGAATTTTTTTTATATATATTTTATTATTTTGTGTGTGTGTGTACCGTCAAATCAGATCTGACTGTTACAGGAGACTGCACCTCCTTTTCCAGCAAAGTATCTGGCAAATTTGAACCACATAGCTCTAGGATTACAGTGCACCTTCTTGCTGCTAGGCCACCAGAGCTCTCTAAATCAGGTTTTTTATTGTATACTGCCATGGGAAAGTCTGCTGTTAGGGACCTCTCCAAAGTACTGAAGAGCAATGGTGTCTCTCTGGAGACTAAGGTGCATCTGATACAGGCCATGGTCTTTGCTATCAGTTGTTAAGCATCAGAGAGTTGGCGGCCCCTTGGAGGCAAGGATTCTGAGACTCCGTCTGGCATACTTTGGACATGTTGTAAGGAAGGACCGGTCCTTGGAGAGGGGACATCATGCTTGGTAGGGTGGAGGGACAGCGCAGGAGGGGAAGGCCCTCTATGAGGTGGATTGATTCAGTGACTGGGGTAATCGGGATGGGAGTGTCAGAGACAGTGCAATTGGCACAGGGCAGAGCAGAGTTTAGGGCTTGCTATGAGTCACAAGCAACTCGAAGGCACATAACAACAACTGTCTCTTTGATCCTTGTCCTGTAGGGTAAGTAAAGTGGTTAGCCTTGTTTTCTGAAGATATTGAACTTGTCCTAATCAAATTGTGTGCCTAGAATGATACAGCTCATTTTTTTTTAAAAAACCACAAAAACTGCTATCATTGAGATTATAAGAAACTAGAGCATAAAGGTAATTTTTCTTTTTCTCTCTTCATTTTCTTTATTGCTTACTACACAAATAATAGCCTTATTAAAAAAAATTAAACACTACAAAATAAGGTAGTTAAAAAGTCACTGTCTTTTCACACTTGTCATAATCTCATCTCCCTCTCAGAGGCAAATGTCTGTATATTATCAGTAGAAAAAGTTTCTATCTTAATTACCTGACCACTTAAGCTTTTATTTTAAACTGTTATTTTTTTTTTCAGGCTCTTAAATTCCTGGAAAAATGTCGCAAGAAAAAGAAACTCTTTGTTCCTTGGCAAGGACTCCAAGGACTCAGTGATGCACACAGAGTTAAACTGAAGCAACAAGTGGATGACTATTTGAGAAGACACCCAGTATGTATGCTTCCGTGTCTCATCTGCATTTGTACATTTATTGGTATTAGGAATTCATAGAGCTAATGAAATACCTTAGAATTGATGGAATTAAGCCTCACTCATTCCTTGCTTTCCATTTGGAACTATTCTGACTCTACATGTATATAATACTTGCTCACTGGTAATGAACCTATATAAACTAATAAGATTTCATTATTTGTGCCTTTTGAGTTTATCGCTAGTATTATCAGTGAATTTTCCCAACGTAAATATCTGTATCTTTTACCTGTGACTGTAATAATGGAGATTAGGTGTTTGCTTCTCTATTCAGAGTTCTTGACCTTTGTATCTCGATGTTGCTTTCCTTTTTACCTTTTGAGCAACTCACCACTCCTGTCATTAATTCTAATCATGTGTACCTCTGCTATTCCCATCTACTTTATATTCTATTGTTTTCTCATTCTTATACACAGCTCTAATTTTGAGGGTGAAGTTTCCACTTTATCCTTTTAAACCAACCAGAATTATTATCAACCTCATTTGAACCAACTACTTACAGTATATGTTGGTACTTTTCACGTCTGTATTGTTCCTATTGTATTGTTGTCTGTCTTCAAGGTCATTTTATCTCAAATATGTACTTATATGTGATATGATACCTAGGTAATCCTGTCATTTACCCTTCCAGTCATCTGTGGTTAAGTACCATCAAGTCAACTATAACTCAGCAACCCTGTAAACAACAGATCTGAAACTTGCCCTATCCTGACACCTTTCCCAGCATGATGGCTTTTTCCAAGGATTGGCCCTCCCTGACAGCATGCTCAAAGTATTTGAGATGAAGTTTTTTGATCCTTACCCCTAGTGAATATCTTGGTTGCAGGTACTTCTTTTGGCAGTCCATGATATATATTCAGCTCTCTTCTCCAACATCACAGTTCTTTTCAACACTACAATAAATCAAAATCATTGATTCTTCTTCAGTCTTCTTATCCACTGTCCAACTTTCAGATGCATAGGAAGCAACTGAAAATACCATGCCTTGGAGGCCACCTTAGTCTTTAAACAGACATCCTTGCTCTTTAGCATTATAAAGAGGGTTTTGGCAGCAGATTTTTTCAGTATAACACGTCTTTTGATTTCTTAACCTCCATTACCATCGGTGTTGATTGTGGATCTAAATTAAAATTAAATCACTGACAACTTCATTTTATTTCTCTATCTCATACGGACTGAAGCTCAAAATCAAGAAAACAAAGATTCTTACCACTGAGCCTATTGGCAGCTTCATGATAGAGAAGAGATTGACATTGTTAACAACTTCAGCTTGCTTGGTTCCACAGTCAACACTCTTGGCACCAGCAGTCAGGAACTTAGAAGACAAATTGCATTGGAAAAGTCTAGAGACTAGGGTGTGCCTGATACAGACTATGGTCTTCACAATTACTTGCTATGTGTTAGAGAGCTGGACAGTGACTAAAGGTGACAAGAATTGATGCCTTTGAGTTGTGCTGGAGGATAGTGTTGAACATACCATGGACTGCTAAGAGAACAAACAGATCCGTGCTGGAGTGGGTAAAACCAAGCTGCTCCCTAGAGGCAAGGATTTTGAAGCCCCGTCTCACATTCTTTGGGCATGTGGCAAGGATGGACTAATCCTTGGAGAAGAACATCATGTTTGGAAGGTTAGAGGGACAGCATAAGAAAGGAGGACCTAAGATGGAGATGGATGGAATCAGTGACTGGAGAAATGAGATTCGGTCTGTCAGAGACGGTGAGATTGGCTCAGGATAGGGCAGACTAAAGATCTGTTGTACATAGGGTCACTATGAGTCACAGGCAACTTGACGGCACTTAACAACATTCATGATGTAGCCTGTTGGTCCAGTGATAAGGACTTCTGTTTTCTTGATGTTGAAAGATGTGCTATAAGGTTTCCCATACCTCTTAAATCTGTATGCTGAGCATGTTATTTTAGACAGTGGACCATATGAAGGAGAATGTGGCATCAGGATTGGAGAAAGACCATTAACAAGTGTTAGGCAGATAGCACAGCCTTGCTTGCTTGCTGAAAGTGAAGAAGACTTGAAGCACTTGCTGCAGAAGGTCTAAGACTATAGTCTTCAATATTGATTATTCCTCAATAATGAAAATATTCATTCCTCTAGAGAGCTCACAAAACACAAGACCTGTATGCAAAGAACTCTACAAATTGAATACAGGTTCCAAATCTGAGCATGTATTTGATAGCCACTGGAGCAGAGCATTGGTGAAAGTTCACCTGGACAGCAAGGCATGCTTCAAGAGTCATAGATAGATAAGGCCTTCGGCGTCCTCTACCAACTAACTTGAATTTAGGGACCCACACACTACTTGGAACCTGTAGAGAAAATGCATCACAAGCCTGTTCTTGTATACCAGACCCTCTATACTTAACCCATGGAACTATACAGTAGAGAAAAGCAGGACTTCACATATAACTAAGATGGAATACAAGAATTTATCATCTGCCTGAATGACAGATACAAAAAAGATGATACAGTAGTTCCCAGTATAACAATAATGAATGGTGATCCCTAAGAACGAATAAAGTAAGCATGTAATTAGTTGGTAGTTAATTGCCTGAGTGAGTATCCAGGTCATAGAGAATAGTACAGTGGGAAAACTTAGCAGTTTTTGATGATGATGTCAGTTTTACCTCAAAAAAAGGTTGCAATAAAACCTGCTTAGGAAGAGAGGTCCTCAACTTTTAACACACAGCCTGCTCACTAATAAAATAAGTTAATTGAATCACTCAAAATCCTATTAACAGCTCTTTGCTTGGCCAACAACAATAGCCGAATTGGAAAGGGACAGAAGTGCCTAACTGAAAAGTTCTTACCTATGGACAGAGTTAGGATTAAGAGAGTCAAGAAAAGAAGCCCTTTTCTCCAATGAATGGCTCGTTGGGTTTTGTTTTTTTGCAGTTTTTTTATTTTATTTTTTTATTCTTTTTATTAATGATTTTCAATGCAGCATACATTTTTTACAGCATATTCTATCCATTTAATTTTTTCCCCATTCATTCATTGTTGCACATTTTCCTCCCAGCTCACTCCTCCCCCCAGTTCATTTTTCTCTTTGAAGAAAAAAAATTCTTGCGTTGTTAATACAGTTCCCTCCCCCCACCCCCAAGTCTACAGTCCACTTTAATATGCATTTCTTTTTCTGTGTTCTTGTCATGAAAATAATACCTAATCCTATATTCCTTTTAAACAGTTCTCACCGTCATCTGTTTGAATGCAGTATATATTATTTATCCCTTCTTTTCTTAGGTTCCCCCAACCCCGATGTCAGTTCCACTTTACAACAGTGGCACTATGCCGTATTTGTCCTTTTGTGACTAAGATATTGCCCTCAGCATAATGTCCTCCAGGGTCACCCATTTTGTATAATATTTCATGTGTTCTTTTTCAATGCAGCATAGTATTCCATTGTGTGAATATACCACAGGTTCTCTATCCATTCGTTTGTTGATGGGTACTTAGGTTGTTTGCAACTCTTTGCAGTTGTGAACAAAACAGCAGTAAACATGAGTGTGCATATATCTGCTTGGGTGGCAGTTTTAGTTTCTTTAGGATAAATTCCCAGTAGTGGAATTACTTGGTTGAATGGTATTTCTAGTTCCAACTTTTTGAGAAAGCTTCATGCTGCCTTCCATAGTGGTTATACCATTTTACACTCTCTCCAACAGTAAAAGAGGGTTTCAGTTTCTCCACAACCTTGCCAGCATTTGCTGTTTGCTGCTCATTTGAATTTTACTATTCTTACTGCGGTAAGATGATATCTCTTTCATTGTTGTACAATTCCCCACCCCCACCCCAGTCCACTTAACTATGCAGCTCTTATTCTGGACTGTTAACATACAAATAATACCTAACCATATATTCCTTTTAAATAATTTTTTCTTAAGCTTTATAAAGAAGACTATGACTTTAGTGATTTTAATCAGATTACATATTTTAAGTTCCCTTACAAAAATTTTGTACTCTTCCCTTCGTCCCATGTAAGAAATTTGGTTTGATGTGACCTCATGTATTTCTACTTTTTAAATGTTACCTGTGATTCTAAATCAATTTTAAAATTTTTTACGCATTTGGTCAAATTCTAGTACAGCTATTGAAAATCTTAAGATGAAAAGTAGTGTTAGCTGAATGAAGCCACTCCCAACATCTAGAAACTGGTTTGTTTAAGTACATGTAGTGTCAGAAAATATACCAGTTTCATAGCTAAAATTTTTTCATCCTTGTCCTACCTAAATTTCCCTTTGAAGGATCTGACTGGTCAAATAATTATGATCCTTTGGCTAATATTGTGACTTGTTCTGTGAAACCAGAAGCCGTTAAAACATTATAGCTTAAATAAGTTTGAAAGTAGGATCAAAAGATAAACCTATTAGGTTATGCTATGAAACATTAGAGCCAGCCTTTGTATTACTCCTTTTCAAGTGTCTTTACCAAATAGGTAATTTCACCAATGGCTTCTAAATCTAATCTCTTCTCTAAGGATACTATACCATCTAAGGAAGTAAGGTTCAGAAGCATGTCAGGAAGAAACTTAGCCACATACATTATCATCCAAAGCCTTTTTAACTTGTATAATGGCTTGTACAAAAATATAGTGTACATATGTCCTAGTTACCTAGTGCTGCTGTAACAGAGATACCACTTTTTGATGGCCTTAACAAATAACTTTAGGAAGCCAGAAGTCCAAATCTAGGAGAAGGGCCCCTCTCTTTCAGTTCTGAAGAGAAGTTTCTTGTTTCTTTCCATTTCTGAAGGTCTTGGCAATCCATGTGTCTTGGCCTTTCTCTGTGTAAAAGAACTTACTACTACAAGGATCTCAGCTCAAAAGAACACGCTACACTCCTGTTGATTTGTTCTTGGGTATACTGAAGTTTTCCCTCCCAGTTCCCTTTCTTCCCTATTTGTGTCTTGTAAGAAAAGATGTTACAAGCCATTCTCAAGAAGAACTTCCCATACATCAGTTCAGGGCTGTGGCTGGATTAAAAGTTGTTACATTCTAAAAAGGAAGTTATTGCATTCTACCCATAATCTTCCTACTATTTATCAGATCGCAGTGGACCATTATATAACTTCTTGTATCATTACATATGTATTTTGAAGTGATCCTGTTCAATCTGTGATAGAAGATATCAATTAAAAAACAATTGATAAGAGACATCTACATATTATAGAATCTCTGCTGAAGGATTGGCTGAAACATTTTTATTTATGTCTTTCATTTGACAAGTTTTTCTGCTCTTTATCCCCAGAGCTCTCAGATGTCAGATGTGACCAGCAAAGAGCTTCATGCCCAGGCTCAGGAACAACTTCAGCACTACTTTATGGGCCGAGCCCTAGAAGAGCGGGCCCAACAGCATAGGGAGGCTCTGATGGCTCAGATCAACACCAACATTGAGCAGTTAATAAGTATGTGCTCTTTCCATTTTTGTTTCCTAAAAGAGAACAGCCTATAATGACTTGTATCATCTAGTATCTTCAGAAGTAAAACTACCATTTAATGGCCTTTTAACCCATCATCTGTCTTCAAAAATTTCCACTTTTGTGTCTTACCAGCACCCAATGTTTTAAAATTGTATAGATCCCATAACTTCCTTCCTGACTGATTCCCTTTAGCTTTTCTGAATGCATAGTATTAACTAGGGCAAACTTACTTATTTTAGAGATGGTGAGCTTTACTACGCAGATGCTACTATATTTCTCTCAAACACTTTTGGTCATATTTTTTTGAGGAAATAGCAAGAAAGGGTATTGTACCATTAATATTTGAAACGTTTTTGTCATTTTTAAATAGTTTGGCAAAAATTAATTTTTTTCTTACAACTAGTCCATTCATTGAGAGGTTACCTCTGTGTCGCTAGAATTTCAGTCGGCCTCTGGAGTTTCTTTTGAATATGTGTAGGGCAGAAAGGGCCAATATTCTTTATTTAATGAACTATTTTTTTTTATACTGGTTTATTTACAAAGTTCATATACATTTTTTTTCACACCAGATCTTTCCCATTTCATTTACCGCTCTCCTTCCACCCATCAAATTGTGTGACCATATGATTAATGCCCCGATCCTCACCCCTCTGCGCCCCTCTGCCCCCATTGAATCCTCATACATGTTCTACAGTAATGGTCTTAACACAGTATTTGTCCTTATGAGACTGAGTTAGTTCATCCCACATAATGCTCTCCAGTCATTGCTTCTGCATCCTGCGTAGTGTTCCATCATGTGAATGTACCATAGTTCCTCAATCCATTTGATTGTAGTAGGACGTTCGGGCTAGAACATAATTTTTAATTTTAATTTTTTTTAATGGGTGGTTAAGTGGCTGTAACTGTGCTTCTTAAACCATAGACTGGGATTCTCCTATTATTGTATAAAAATCCTTGTTTTTAAATATAACATCTATATATCATCTTCTTTTTATTCCCTTTTTTTAAATGCAGAAGTTTAAAAGAGGGAGGAGTCGAGAGAGGGAAGTTCCTTCTATCCACAGCTATAATACCATCCACAACTAGCAGTAGTAATTGAGTCAGAGTGGGAACTTTTCCCTGTCTGCTGTAACAGAGTTCCAGCTCTTAATCTCTTAAATTCCTACTTGCTCAGTACAGAATTCTTTCACTTACCTGTTTATTTTCGGTTAATAACAGGAGCACCAAGTCTGAAAGAAGCAAAGGAGAAAGATCCTGAACTTTTCATCAGTAGATCCAGGCCTGTGGCAGCCAAGGCCAAGCAGGCCCATGTCAACACCTTAAAGCACATGCAAGCTCCGTGGTGGAAGAAGCTTGGAGAAGAACCAGGAGATATGGTTGATGCCCCACAGGATGAGCTTAGTGTAGAATTAGAAACTTTATTCATTGGTGGAATAAAACCCCCTTAAGTTGTCATCCAGAGAACCAACATAAATCCTCTATTTCAGGAAACTATTATATTGTTTCTGTCTAGTCATGCTATTAGACTAGAGCTAGCCTACACATTCTTTTCCAAAGGCTCCTGTTTAACAATAGTTACAGGCAAAAAAAAGCACAGTTGACTTTTGCCTTTATGCTGTTTGTCTTTTCTCCACATCCCATATCCCTGATTATATAAAAATATGTGACTTTTACTGTGAAATGTAACTTAGCGTGGCATTCTGTTATTTATATGAAAAGTGAGCAATATTTATTTCTGCTGTTTTCTAATAATTTTTCTAAATAAATATTTTCAACAGTTAGGAAAGACTTTTCAAGTGTACTAACTTTTCAGATTTGTTATGTAGAATTCCGAGTTTTAGGGAGATCTGGTGAGGTGTAGGGGTAAGGATTTGCACTGGGAAGACAATCACAAGCATTTGAATTCAGTAGCCACTCCACAGGAGAAAGATGGGGCAACCTCCTTCTCTGGGATTTAGAGCCTCTGAAAAACTGCCAGAGGGGCAATTGTGACTTAACAGCAATGAGAGAGACATTTTTTTCCCTTAATAGAATAGACAGGCTGCTTTTAGACATTATTAAAATGAGAAAAACGCTGGTCAACGGATATTTTACTATATCATGTAAGACGGGTTGAACCTATTTTCTATTATTTCCACTATGAGCCACCAAAAAAATTCCCTAAAATTCAATGCTATAAAGATTCTCCAGATAAAATGTGTTTGTTTGTTTTTTTTAAGGATTTTCAGTTTCTTTCTATGCCTTTGAAAGTTGATAGTAAATTAATAAGCCCAAAGAAGAATCAATACATACGAGTTGTGTTACAGAGAGTATTGAGTATCGCATGGACTGCCTACAGAGCAAACAAGTTTTGTCTTGGAGGAAGTACCACCAAAATGCTACTTCAAGGCAAGGATGGTGCAGCTTTGTCTTACGTACTGTGGGCATGTTGTCAGGAGAGGTAAGTTCTTGGAAATAGACATCATGGTGGGAAAGACAGAAGGTCAGAGACTCTCAGCAGGATAGGCTGGCAACAGTGACTAACGAAGAGCTGGAGCATTTCAGCTCAGGAGAATGGTGCAGGACAGGGCAGGTTCAGATCTATTTGGAGGGTCACTGAGTTCAGTCGGGCTTAACAAAAACAACATGACCTGTTGTTCTCCATCTTGTCTCCTAGGAATCTCAAGGCTAATTATAATGCTTCATTTCAGTTATGTTCCTGGGTGCCATATAGTATTTGATTTTGGTGTAAGTACCAGTATTTCTCGATGAAAGGACTAAATGCTATTAAAATTTGTACTAGTAAAATTATAATCAAAATTATAATTATATCCAAACTTTATACATTAAGAATAAGCAGGCGAGAATGTTTCACTTAGAATAAATGCGTAACTGCTGAACCAAAGCTTGGCAATTCTAACACACGAGCCACTGTAGGAGAAAGGTAAATACCTGGCTTCCTTTAAAAGTAGAGCCTTAGCAACTGTATAGGACAATTCCCTACTCTGTCCTACAGCATCTCCAAATAAAAAAATGACTCAATGGAGAGGTGGCGTAATTAAAGAAATCACTACATTTTTAAAATATTCTTAAAGGTGTAGTCTCCTGTAACAACTAGGCCCCCCAGACAGAATTATTGTCCCCACCATGTGCCAACAAGGCTGGAAACAGAACAGGAGACCAAGACACTCCATTACGGGCATAGGCAAACTTGAGATGGCAGGGTGACATGTTCAAAGCTCCACTCATTTCTAAGTTTGTCTTTTAAGAGCTTGAAGCTGCTAGGGTCAAGTCAACTTTCTGCCATCAAGTTATAGCTGAACTCCATTGGGTTTCCAAGGTTGTAAACCGAGTTTTCCCATCTCCTCTCTCCAATCCCTACCTCAATGCTAGATCCAAATGGCCAGAGCCATAGATTTTTGGGTTTGCAGTACAGTATCTATAGAGGAAGCCACCTGAGCCAAAGTTGCCAACTAGTTGGAAGAGACTCTGCTGACCTGTGGATTTTCAGAGGCAGTAAATTGCAAGGGAGGTGATTGCTGATCCTCTAACCGAATGGCTGGTTGATTTAAACTGCATACCTTTGGGATTGCTGTGCAGTTTATTACCCTAGGCCACCAGTTTCCTGAGCTAGAGTAGTGGCATTAACTCTTTAAGACCTCTGAAACTCAGGTTGAAATTTGTTGCATGTAAAGAAGGAATAAACAAACTGCTTCTGGAATAAGGAGCTCTGGTAGTTTAGTCTTTAGGGAGTTGCCCTGCCAACCCCAAAACTACCTGTCTGGAAATTCCCTTCCATGACCAGTTTCTCTGGAGAAAGACAATCTGACAGATTCGAAAAACCCACTGGCAGGCCGGCTGTGAGTCAGTACATACTCACTGGAAATGTGTTAGTTATCAGCCTCTGGGGAAAGACTAGGTCCAAACACAAGCAAAGACCCAGTATTAGAAAGAGAGCAGCACCGAAGGAAAATATCCAATACAAGAAGTTCTATGTGACTACCAAGCAGAAGTATAATAATAATACTAGCTAAGACAACAAATCCAGATTTGGAGATAATCTCAGATATTTGATCTCACAAAAAGAACCTTTTAAAAAAAAAGTGGTAATAGGTTAAAACAAAAATGTGTAAGCTGACAACCGTCAAGTACAGATAAAAAATTTCAGAGGTGAAAAGAAAACAAAAAGACTATGAATTTTAAAAGCCACAATACCAGATTTTAAAAATTTCCTTAAAGTCTATCAGGCTAAATATAATTGAGTTTATAAAAAAAAAAAAAAAAAGGTGAATTTGTCAATAGATCAATGGAAATTAACCAAGCAAAATAAAATTATGAAAAGATGAAAGAATAGAGTCTCAAGAGTTCTATAGACCAGTATCAAACAACACAAGACATTGGTTCTAGAAAAAGAAGACTGAGGAAATGACACTGAATTAAGTGAATAAAAAAGGCCTAGGATTTGACAGATAAACCCTAATTCTAAGAACATCAGTGAACCTCAAACATTATTTTTAAAATCTATACACAAATATCTTCAAAATATATTAATACAAAACTGATTCCTAACCCAGCTTTTCCACTGCTTGGAATATACCCAAGAAAAATGAAATCTGAGACACAAATGGAGACTTGTACTCCAGTGTATAACAGTGTTATTCACCATCGCAAGAACATAGAAACAGCCCAAATGTCCAACCACAATGGAATAGAATGAGAAATTATGGTACATTCACACAATGGAATACTACACAGCATGTAGGAGCAATGATTTTGTAAATCACTACTGAACTTGGGAAGGACAAGAACATTATGCTGAGCAAACTCAGTCCCATAAGGACAAATACTGTGTAAGACCAATATTGTAGAGCATGTACGAGGATCCAAGGCAAGGAGGGGGGAGCAGAGGGGTGAGGATGGGCGGAGCGGGGCGGTTAATCATAGGGTCACACAATTTGATGGGTGGAGGGAAGGGTGGGTAAAGGAAATGGGAAAGATCCAGTGTGGAAAACAATGTATAAAAACTTTACAAGTAAACCAGTATAAAATTAAAATTTTATTTAAAAAAAAAAAACAAACCAACACCAAACTGATTCCTAAACTAAGAATACAACAGTAAACCACAAGATTAAATATTTGGGAATAAACCTCACTAGAGACAAAAAAGATTGTTATAAGGAAAATTATAAAACACTACAAGAAATAATAAGAGACCTAACTAATGGGAAGATATTCCCATTTTTGGAAGAAGAAAACATTGTGAAAATGACAACTGTTCCAAAACCAGTCTACATGTTTTCATGCAACCTCAATGGAACCTAACTCAAAAGAGATAGAAATGGTAATCTGCAGTTTTATTTGGAAAGGAAAGAGACCCCAAATAAGCAAAACTCTTCTGAAAAATAAACCAAGTGGGAGGCGTATCATTACCTGATCTCAAAATATTCAGTCATAGTAACCACTACAGAAGGGTATTGGTTCAATGACAGAGACTGAGAACCCAGAAATCAATCCATTTACCATCACTTAACGCTTACGACTCAATGACACGTAACAACAACAACAACCATCAAATTGTCAAACATCATTTGGTATTTGACAAGGGAGCAAAATCAATCAAATGGAGAGAAATGTCAGCCTCTTAAATCTCCAACAAATGGTCCTGGCAAAACTGGACATCTGCCTACATAAAAATAAAAACAGGATCCACATCTCACACCATACATGAAAATCAACTCATGATGTTTCAGAGTCCTAAAAGTAAAACTCCAGACCATAAGAATTGTCAAAGACAGAATGATAACCAAACTTAGAGGACATAAATAGGCTTTCAAATACAGCCAGAAATGCATAATCAGGAGAGGATGCAATCAAGGAATGGGTCCTAAAAAGTCCCTGTGTATATAAAAATATTTTTGAGAAAGAAACTGCAAATTGGGTAAAAAACATGGCAATGACATTACAGACAAGGGTCTCAACTAAAATTTACAGAATACTATAGGACCTCCACAAGAAAAAGACTGACAACTCAATCACGAAATGGGCAAAACACATGAAAAGACTTAATCACAAAGGAAGACAGTCAGATGGCCAACAGATAGGTGAAGAAATGTTCAAAATAGTGGCAATTAGATTTAAATCTAAACAATGAGATATCATCTCATTCCAGTAGCAATAGTAAAGTTTCACAGGACAGCAAGAAATAAATGGTGGAAAGGATATAGAGAGATTGAAATAACATTTTATTTGTGGGACTGAAAAATGGTACAACTACTATGGAAGGAGTTTGGCATTTCCAGCAGTTTGATATTTCAGAACTGAGATACAAATGAACATATATATGTACACCTATATTCATAAAAGTGTTAACTCAAAATAGCAAGCCAAAATTGAAACTCTGTAAACGTCCATCAACAAATTAATGGACTGAGAAACGGTGGTACATTCACACAATGGAATATATGCAGCA